GAATAAAATAGCTCATAAAAATGTAATGGTATTTAACAGTATTGCAATATTAATATTTGTAATCTAACTTATTTTGATTGTTGTCATTGTTGTTGTTTTACTTATAATTAATAATAACAATTGATGAAGAAAGCCATTTTCTTTTATTTTGATGGTCAAAGACCCCTGAATTAATTCCCTGTTGTCATGTGTTTTCCCACCTCCTGCCACAGACCCCCGATTCCACCCCCTGTTGTTCATTGTCCCCTTACCTCCTGTCATTTGATTAGCAAATGTGTGCTATCAGAACCCCGACTCCACCACCCGTCTGGTCACCAGACTCCGATTTCATCACCTGTGATTCATTGCCCCCCCTTACCTCGGGTCACTTGATTAGCAACTGTATGTTAATTTACCTCTATTCACCTCTGTATTTACATACAGGCCCCCCCTACCCTATGACTTACCCTATAAATGTGTGACTCTGCAGATGTTCAGGGTCGGTCCACCTTCACAGACTCATGTTCTGTGTTGGTGAACCCACCGTATACCAGAATACTAATAAACACCCACTACAGCAAACTTCACATGAGGACTATGAGTAGAATTTCTTCAACACAATAAATATAACTTATCATTGATTTAATATAGAACTGTATTACTGTAACATATATGCCGCCTGTATATTCTGCATTACTCCTATTTAACACTATGTATGCCATTTATTACATCGGTATGCTATTACACAGATACAGATAGAAAAGGACTACACAATAGACACACAATAAAACTAAGCAGCCTTTGATTCAGTGTGTCTGTTCTCCACCTGCTCCCTATGTTTTTGTATCTGTATTAAGATTATATTTGATTTATTAGTAATAATGGGGACCTTTTTCCAGTATATATACTGTCTTTTATTTAAAATAACAAAATAACTGAAAAATAAAATTTCTAACTTTTGCACTTCTGCAAGGAAATTAAATGACCTGTGAGCCTAAAGATTTAAGAAATTAAAATTGGGGGAAAATAAATAAATAAATAAATAAAAATTTCACTCCATGGATCTTCCCAGAAAAACCGAGCTGTCCAGGTTTGACACAGCCTTGTAAGTACAAAAATTTGTCAGCACTAATTTTCTGTGGGGATATATTGGCTTTGGTGACAGTCATGGCAACAGATTACATTTGACCTCCTAAAACTGTTTTCTAGCTGTTTGAGACCCCTGATTAAGATTTATTTAGATTGGGGTTTACTGTTAAGTTGCACACTTTATCTTACTTTAAATATTATATCACCACTGCAAAAATGTGATTAATTTGATTAATGTTTGGTGCAAATTTCCCCTACATATATCAAACATTTAAAATGTGTTTCTTATGTGAACTATCTGTGTATCCCAAAGTAAAAAAAGCTAAAGAGAACACATGTATGAATTTCTAAAACTCAACACAGTGTCTATTGTCACATTTACGTCCTAATCCAGAGCCCAAGATTTCACGATTACAAACTGGAATCCGTCACATGATTCTGTCTGCATGCGGAATGAGTATTTTATTTATAACCAGTTTATAAAAATAAAATACAAAATAATTTTAAAACAAAAAGAAAAAAAAAACACTGTACAAGGCATTGATATGATACAAATGATAGAATAAACATAAATAATTACAGGTATATACAATGCAAAACTCCCACTTGTTACATTCTTTCCTTGAGACTGTACAGTTACATTTCAAAACCATGACGTACATTACAACACAAAAAATATTAACCATTAAAAAAAAATAAAATAAAAAATCAATTGAAGTCAGAATGATGGATGGGCAAATTAGCAAATGTCACAATAAATAATTTTTCTGTCAAGTATTTATAAGTTATTAACAAGTAATCCAATGTTATGACATGAGAAGTGTACGAGTGCACACCAAAGCTTTTATTAGTTTCCATCTCACCTCTCGAAATGAAATTAAAACAGCTGGGTTTGTTCTGTTGGCCTGTGGTTTCCCGTCACCACAAAAACCAACAAGCTACTATAAATATGACACCTTTCTACCAGCGAGCCACTTTTGGAAAAAAAGTGACAAAGGAAATCTCGTCTGGAACACTAATACTACGACTACACACCACTTATGTGCAATAATAATAATAATAAAAACATGAGAAGAAATCTGATTATCTCTTAAAACCAGCAGCACTGTTTAGTGTCTGTTCCTCCCTTTTCATTGAAGCCTGTTAAGCGTATAAGTTACGGTTGTACAATAATGATCTTTTATTTAAATATTACTTTGAATATTTTACAGGTATATATTAAAAGTCTGCACAACAGCGTTCTGAACTTTGAAAGCTTGAAGTATCTTGAAATCTCGTGAGCCCGAAATCGAGAAGTTTGAAAGTGGGAGAGGATTGATTGCTGGCGACGTAAGAAATTGCACGGCCCTGCTCGAGAGCACACACTAACAAACAGACACACCTCAAAATAATGCACCCTGAAAATTTTCACCCATTTCCACCAGTCGATCGATAAATGCATTCTCACAGGAAAAAAAAAACAGAGAGGGGAGAGGAGGGGAGGGGGTGGAGGGAAGGAGCTCTTCCGGCTTAGTAAGCACAAAAAGCCTCGTCAGCGTTGGTTTTTCAGCGGTGATGTACCGACCACGCTGACAGGCACGGCAGCACACGCCATTTACAGACAAGGGAGGAAGTGACAGGAAGGCTTGGCTCGGCCTAATAGTGGAATGATCTCCAACACAGACAAGGCTCAGTCATCCCTCGCTACGCACAGAGGGGCAGAGAAGAGACATTAAGGCGGCTGACTGACTGAACGCTGTCTGCCTTCAGGATGAGTCATCATAGCTGCTCTGTGAGGCTAGCGTAGGTACCTGCAAGATCTGCAACAAAAAAAACCGGGTTTATATCTACACAGCAACGTGCCCACTCGATCTCCATTATTTATCGCATCTCAAACCACATCTGCAAAATCTATCAAAATATTTGGCAATGTGATTCCTTTTTTTTTGACTCTATTTCGTCCACATGTGCAGCAATATCTTAAGAGAGGCGTGAGACAAAGTCTATTCTCTCCTTTTCACCTTTCAGCTAGTTATATATTTTGTGCATCGTGCCGTATTGATGCGCTGATTTTTAAAAAATGAAATAAAAAAAATCACATTCCAGCGCACACAATCATCCCAAGTCAGTGCAGGAAGCGCTGAAAACTAACATCAGATGGGAGGGGGGGAAATGAATATTGAAGATGAGTCAGAGAAGATACAGAGTCACAGAAATTAAATTTGCTCACCCAACAGGTAGTGAAATTCCCCACCGGGTTAAAATCTCCACAAGATAAATGCTGTGTGATAAGTGGTATGCAGCTTTTTTTTTTTTTTTTTTCCCTCAGTAGTTGATTTTTTTTTTCTCTGTTGAAGCATGCAAAGAGTAGCACTGGAAGGAAGCTGAAGTTATTTTACAGTATCTTACAAGCAGAGGAGTGGGAAGAGGTTGTGGAGGAGAGGAATCCTAAACTAAACACAAAACTGATTCCTTGGACTTGTGCACAAACATACTGTGTGTAGTTATATTCAATACATTCTCCGGCGCAAGAGAAACGCAAATAAAAAATTCAAATAAAAAAAAAACATTCTTGCACATGGAGGCATGGAATTTTGGTGTGAGAAATATATGTACATATGGCCTCCGTTTTTCAGTTAACATTTGACAAAATGTGTGTTTTGAGGTCTGAAATTCACATTTGTTCGGAGTTTTATCTCAAACACTGACCTGGTATTTACACAGGACAGCTAAAACGGGAACCACGTCCCGTTTTGTTTGTCTTTACAAATAAGAGCTACTCTGTCCTCAAGTAAACTGCTGCTCAAATTGTGTTTGATTTACAAACGTTTGTGTTGCTACTTTTTCTACATGAATGAATACTAATGAAAAGGGTTGTCTTATAACCGCTGGCACAAGTCAAGTTTTTGGCTCCTTTGTTTGCTTTTTTTCTAATTACAAACACACCAGAGTGAATCCTCAAGCTGCCCAAAGTGCCAAGGCACACACTGAGACAAACATCTGTGTCCGAACATTACTCATCAGCAATGCACCTTATGTTGTTTAAGCTTACTACTGCTACTACAACACTGAAAATGCACTAAGATCCATAAGGAGCTTTTCAAACCTGTAATCCCTCCATTCAGTGCGACGTTGAGATCCCCCCCTCTCTAGCAACACAGTAGGCACAAAAAGGTGTGTGTCCTCACGCACTTTACACGATTGATTGTATAAAGGGTCACTTGGAGCAATCCCTTCGATTTGAACACTTAAAACTAACGCGAGTGACACAAAACCGCACGTCCACGATCACACGGAAGAAGGGTAGGAGTTCGTAAGCATCGCTAAGCATCAAAATAAATATCTCAATAAATACAGCTGTACACAAAATTCGGGCTTTACGCGTTCACATTTAGCATAAAGCAAATATTATACCCTGCCTGCAATCTCCGAGAGCAGAGGAGATAACTGAGTCAACCCCCAGTCCAAAGATTTAATTAAGTCAGCTACACTGAAATTTCATCAGTATGATTCAAGTGCATTAATACTGGAGATAAATAAGCTACGAGAAAGTGTGGTGCAGGATGGGACAGAGTTGAATATGCAGGAGAAGGATTTATTTATGTGCCCACTGGTTCGACGCTGCAACTGCTTAATTTTGCAGCTTCACTGTTTTAGTCTCCAGCATTGTGTTAAACATGAAACAAGTGGCCTGATGAGGTCGGTTCACTTGTCACGTATCATCATCCAGCCCGTGGATGTATGTATAATGTCCTCTGTGGCTCTTTCTGCATCATGGGGTGATAAATGATGCGAGGAACCAGCGTTTTTGGAGTTCAATTCAGGATATTTTAGCTCCTGCCATACAGATTTTCACTATTCTTCTTCAAAATCTGTCTTTCACAAGTCCAACAGCTTCAATGCTGAGACTTGAAAGGCTAGCCGGGGCACATAAATGAATGACAAACCCTGCGTGCAAGTAGATGGACTGAAGAGAGCATCGGGAAGCAGTAACATGTGGAAAGCTCGGACTAACAGCAAATAAATGAGGAACAAGTTATTTTTCTGATTATACAGGATGTCTCAGGCTTTTATCCTGACTGGCGTCTATCCTATCATAACAGGAATCTTCCCATCCTCTGCTGTGGCAACACTAACCCGGTGGGCGACTATCTGCTCAGCTTGCTGGAGCACTTGCCCTCTCGGCTGCAGCCTTTGCCCCTGGACAGGTGGAAGGGGCCCGTGCGCGCCTGGCGGCTGCAGCAGGACTCCTGGTGGTGGGGGTAGAAGCGGCGGGGAGGCGGCGAGCCGGAGAAGCTGGGAGGCGAGCGGCTGCGGCCCAGGCAGCCCCCTCCCCCGCCGCCCCGGTGCTCGTGGCGGGAGGGCGAGGAGCTGACGGAGCGCTGCAGCGAGGAGGAGCTGCGCGGGGAGGCGCTGGAGCTGCGGTGGTGGTGCGGGGAGCTGGTCAGGCTGCAGATGCCCATCCTGGAGCCGCCGTGCTGGGCCGAGGAGCGGTGGTGGAGGGGGGAGCCGCGGGAACCATGCATCAGCTGAGCAAGGCATGTCAGGAGGTCTGAGTCACTGGTGCTGCCGGCTCGGATGCGGTAGCGCCTAAGCCTGAGCGGGAAGAAAAAGGAAGGTGGGCTATGAGGAACAGCAGGGAATATATTTCAAAGGCAGGAAGCAAGTCTGACCATTTCCAAAGGCTAGATTTGGCAAATAACCAAGTTGTATCTATTCTGTATTATGTGCACAAACACAAATATAAAAATGGCAAGTTGCAGCTTTAAGCACAGTTCTTTGCCATGAAAATTGCAGGAATGTTCCAACACTAAATAACCAGATACAATAAGAGCACAGTGTGACAAAAAAAAAAGGCAAACAAAGTGATCTAAGGAATCTTTTAAATGGATTTCACAGTGTTTCGTCTTCATGCTGTTCCTCGCATGCTGTGTATCTTAAGTGCTTTGAGAACAATAATGGTTTTGCTAATTTTTCAATTTTCATGTCTTGAAAGATTCAAATCAGCAGATTACCTGCCCTCCACTGTGGGGCGACAAGGTGGCTTTCCAGGCGGTGGGCGCGGCAGGAATTGGGAAGCCAGCTGCTCAGCGGAAGAGGCCGAGTGAACAGGACGAGGGATCCTGCTCTTGCGGGACAAAGGGCTGGAGGAGGAGGACAGAGACGGAGCGTCGTCTCCCTGGCGGTCCGAGCGGGAACCCATCAGAGAGTCCTCGTCCTGAGAGCGGTCGGAGGTGGAGGACAGTGGATCCCTGGCGAGGGAGGCCACCATGGGGCCACGCCTGTCAGAGAGGGACGGCGAGGCAGTGGGAGAGGGAACCGGGCCCTGGTGGTTGGCTTTCTTCTGCAGGAGTTTCTCCTTGGCAGACCCCGGCGGAGGGAGCTCCAGCAGGCTGGAGGGCTCGAGCACAGGGATGCGACTGTGCCTGCGGCTGGGATCTTTGCGGGGGCCAGTGGGGGAGGAAGAGGCCGGGCCGGTGGTCTGCTGCTCTGGAGCCGGGTTCACTCCTCCACCCACCTCCCCCCTTAGCTGAGGCTCTGTGGCACAGGGAGCGGGGGCAGAATCATTCTCAGGGTCTTTTAGCTTGCCGAATGCTCCGTTATTTAAATCCCTTTGGCTGTTGACAGAAGGTGAGAGGCGGCCGTTGGTGAACACGGGGCTGTGAGGGGAGCGAGGGGAGCGTGGAGAGGATGGCGAGCGCGGTGGAGGCGAGCGCGGCGAACGAGGGGAAGACACACGGCTTGGCACGGGGCTTTGAGCTTTGGCGTGGATGTCTCCATTGACCAGCGTCTCGGCCAGGGGGTCTGTTGGGGTCCCCGGGTGGGTGGGCACGTGGTCCTGGGGGGAGCTGATGTCCGCTGTGTGCTCCTGGATCTGCTGAGCATCAGTTTCAGCTTCGCCACGCCTCTCCAGCAGGAGACACTGCGGAGCACTGTCTGATCCCGACTGGGAGGACAGCCCAGAGGGACGCTGAGCTGTCAACTGGAGGGGAAAGGGGAGGTGGAGACATGGGAGGGAAAGAGAAACACACACACAGGTGTTATTTATAAGAAAACACTCTAAAAATGGGAATAATATTCTAACTGTCAAAAGGTCTGTTGCTGATAGACTACAACATGTCGAGTTGTGCTGTAGATCTGCAGCAAGAGCCTGATGCAGATGTGTGAACAGAGAAGAATATATAATATGGGGTAATAAATGGTGATTAGTTTGGCAACGGCATGCAATACCATAGCTACCATTATCAGACCGAAACACACAAAGTGCTATGGCAGTGTCAGTCAAGCTGTGAGTACTAAACCAGCAAGTAGGACAGGAAACGTTCACGCAACTTCGCAGGGGGCTTCAGCGAAGAGAGGGTGAGGAACAAATACAGGGAGAGAGAGAGAAAGAGAAAGATAGAGAGGACAAAGACGATCTGAAACAAAAGAGACCATGCAACCTGTAGTCATGACTCGACATTCCAAACACACATGCCACAATCAGACAAACACACACCCCTATTCAGATCACAAGAACACATGTCCAGACACAAGGACACATCTGACCCATGCTCTGTCTGGCCTGCACAATGCCCTTCATGGTTTCTGGAGAGAGCTGCCTGACAGCAACACAATAAGCAAGCCAAATGAACAAAGAAGCCAAAACTAGCAACTTAAACAAAAAAAAAAAGAAAAGAAAAGAAAAGAAAGAACAAAAATGTTGACAGCAGGTGGATTCCTACTGATGTAGAGGAAACTGAAAGGAGGTCTGGTTTTTTTTATGGGATTGTGATGGGGCTCATCACCTGCTGAAGCTGGGCTCGGGTGATGCGAATGACTGAGGGAAACTTGGTGTTGGCAGCACCAGCGGGGATGGCCGGCAGTTTCCTGCGACTGGGTGAGCGAGTGCCGGGGGCGGGGTTTGGTGGCAGAGGTAGGGAGGCGTGGCAGGAGGAGGAAGAGGAGGGGCGTTCCTGCTGCTGCTGGTCGGCGGACTGGCTGCGCCTCAGGCCCGGCGGCTGGCGCTGGTGCAGCGGGTCCGACAGGGTGGTCAGGAGGGTGTGAGGGCTGGGAGAGCGCAGAGGGATGGGGCTGGATGTCCGGATCGCGACCTCCTCGGGCAGAGACGGAGGAGAGGTGGGGAGCTAAGAGAGGGGAAGGGAAGAAGTGGGAGAGAGGAGGGGTTGTGAGATTGGTGAGGGAGTGAGAAGAAGGAGGAGGACGTGTGGTGGAAGTGCTGTGAGGCAGGACAAACTGGTCGCCCTGGTGAGGGGAGCACGGTGTACCTGAACAGGTAAAGCCACGAAAGGATTACTAGGTAGTTTTGGGAATTCTCTTAGGCTACGAAGGGATCAAGGACATGGGGTAGGAGGGTTTTTGGTTAGGCAGCAGTTCAGGGGACAGTGAGGAACAGACAGCCCGTTTATTCTCTTTGTAGTTAAAAGCTGCTCAACAATTTGAGCAAAAGCTGTCACCACAGAAATGTAGAACTGGACTCTGGGCTACTGGGAGGTTATGAATAGTAAAGGAGCAAAAAAAGTAATTTAAGCTAAACAAACCAAAACATACTTTAGAAATAAATCAGTAATTCGGGAAGTAAAAAAACCCAACTAAACACAAAACTCTGCAAATAAGGTAAAATTAGGCATGATTATCGAATGCAAATTAAAGCGCATTTTAAAGCCATGAGCTCTCTTTTTCCCATGCTGTGATCTGATAAAAAGCTCTGAAGTTGTGTCACAAATAACTTTGTCTAACAAATACACACAAGTGAAGAAGCGAGCCAACACAAAGCAGTAACATTTAGCTTCAAACTACAGCAAGATGCAGCTGGTGGAACTCTGATTGTTGTATGACATTAGCATTGAAGTTCTATACCTAGAACTCTGACTCTGTGCAGCTTTTTAACATTGTAAAATGCTGACTACAGTCAGTATCATGTATGCCATGTTGTGAGATGGCCTTCAAATGAAAGCGCTTACCTGAGTGAGGACTCCCTCAGCCAGAGCTTCAGCCGGGCTGGTTGGAGTGACGGGTGGCAGAGCCCCTACAGGGCCCACGCTAAGCTCCAACTTGTCCATTTTTGCACTTCCCTTGGAAGAAGCCATGCTTTCTTGCTTAGCTTTTCCAGAGCTAGGCCCTGGGCTGCCTTTTCCCCATCCAGGAGACTGATCCTCTGGTTGGAGCACCTCCGGCTCCTCATCCTCCTCCGAAGGGCTGGCGGTGACTTTGGCTCCTGGAGAGCCGCTGGGCCGCTCCACCATTACCCACTCCCTTGAGTCAATGTCCTGCCTCCCAGAGCTCAAATTGAGGGCCACGAAGCCCCCACTGCTGGCTGCCCCCTCTCCCTGCTCCATAGATCCAGGGGAAGCTGGCTTAGGAGAACCTCCACCAGACAGGAACTCCTCATCGTAGTGCCAGACCCTATCTGGACGCTCCCCGGCGGTTACAGCTTGACCCTGAGTTACTGGGATGATCGCAGCTCCGTCAGCCTCCTTCTCTTGGTGCTGGGTGCCAAGCTGCTGCTTTGCTGAACTGAACAGACACAAGACAGTTGCAAAGAATCACCTGTGTGATCTACCCAAAGGAAATGAGACAACAAACACAAGTTGTTTTTTGATAGACTTACCAGGCATCCACAAAGCGTTCTGGACTGGGTTTGGATTCCAAACCAAGCCGCCTCTCTAGCTCAAAGCTGTGGATATTGCGGAGTTTCCTCAGCAGAGGACCGTCACGATCTGAAGGCACCACCTCAGAGTGCAGTTTGACAGGCGAACCCAGGCTTGGCCCAGCGTAGGGGCTCTGGTGTCCTTGGTTGCCCTGGTTGTTGCTGTGTTCCTCCTCCGTTGCCGCCTGTTGAACCCATTGATGTTTGACTGTAACTTTTTTTTTTAAACCAACAAAACTGATGAATTTCACTTGTGAGATAACTCAGTAGTCTACCTTCCAGACTGCCGTCCTGATGCGGTTACGGTTGCGATCCAGCTCCTCCCAGACGTCAGCCTCCTGGTTGCGGTGTGGGTGGAGGGGAGAACCCGGCAGGCGCTCGGGAGCAGGGTTGTTCTCCACATCGCTGAGCTGTTCGTCCTGCAGAACCTCGTCCGTATTCTCCCTCAGCAGGTCGCCAGGGATCAGGGAGGCGTTCGCCATGCTGTGACAACAAAAGGTGCATGAGTTACTGAATAGATAGAACCTAAAACCCAAAATAATTCCACTCCCAGCGTATTGGTGTTTAACCTACCCCATGTGTGCCGGAGTGAGGCGGGTGTGGTGTTGCGGCGTCGTGGCACTGGCACTGATCGTCAGGGTGCCATCTGTGCTGGTCCGCTCCCAGTCGTAGGGGTCATTCTCCACAACATTGTAGGTTTTCATGCTGTTGTCAAACACTGACATCAGCAGCTGCAACAACACGAAACGGCATAATCAACCTTGGTGTGAGTTTGTATTCAGGACGATTCCACAGAAGTCAACAGAAAATGGACGCTTTTGGTGTTTAAAGACCTTGAACAGACGTTTCTAGGTCATGTGCTGCACGATTCACTTTGTCTTTGAGCGAGAGGAATATGAAACTGTAGCAGAAATCAGCAAATGATAACACAGGAATAGCTTCCCTCTTTATTAAACCCAATTTAGACCCTGGTGTTACCTGGTAGTCAGGCTTGGTGAAGTAGTCGAGGCTGGAGATGTGTTCTAAGAAGACACCGAACTCTGCCGGCAGGTGTTTGAGCATCAGACGATGGTCGTATGTCTCCTTCAGCTTCCCAACATGTTCCTGAGGATGAACACATCTGTTATAAAGTCTCCACTTAGAGCAACCGAGACAAGATTGTTCAGTGCTTGGTTATCCTCACTTTGTCCTTGATCTTCCTCCACGGCAGCTGGCCGACCAGAAACTCCACCAGCATGTAGAAGAGAGACCACAGGTCATCGTGACGACCCATTTCCTGCAGAATGACACCGGCTTTGAGTCAACAATGATGAAAAATATTTGCTTTTCAACAAATCATGACAAAAAAAAGAGAGAATGTTATGGATAGTGAGACCATCAGAGATCACACAGATGCTCTTTCACATGTTAGACAGACACTGACCTTATTCTTGTGTGCATTGACGGATGCGTAGCGGACCGTCCCTCTGAAACCAGCCACTGGACGGGGCTGACAAACAAAAATAGGTACAGCAATTGAATTCGGATGTAATCTAATCAGTTTATGGTTCGATCCAAACCACTTTTGCAGAAATTCTGAAAAACTGAGGTAAAAACAACACGAAAATGTAAAAAGAAATGATTCAATTTCTAACCCTCACCCCTGAATAGCATTTTTTAACATAAAAAATCCATTAATTAACATTTTTGGCCACTTGGGGGCAACAAAGTGAAGCATTCAAAGCTTTTAAAGCTTTTAATATGACAAACCTGTGATGCAGCACATGCAGAACAATGCTAGCGTTTATTTTGAGGTGGGTTACAGGCCACCCAACAAACTGAATAATTACTTTTTAGCTCTGTTTTGGTCTCCACCTTAGAGACAGGACATATATTTGGCTTTATAGCTTCTAAATGCTCCACTATATTCACCAGCCTGGTACAAACTTTCTTGTGTTTAGAGCTGAGCAGGCAGAGTACAGTGAATTAATCACAGCTTTTTATTAAGTAGAAGCTTAATGCTGTAGTGAGAAATGAGGAAAAAAGTGTTAAGAAATGTCTGTAAAGCCAAAGCAATAAACTGAAACGTACAAAAACTCATATCGGGTTGTAATTTCATAGCTATTTTTTTATTGCTTCAAGTGATACCTTCTGCATTGCAAATAGAAATCAGACCCATTCTCAGTATAAAAACATTAACAGGCTTTAGGCACTTACAGGTCGGACTTCCTGGCAAGAGTTGGTGAACTGGCGAGCCAAACCGAAGTCCAGCATGTAGCAGGTTCGACAGGTACTGGGGAAGCGACCCATGGCGAAGTTGGACTGCAGCAGGCAAAATTTGATTAGGTGTGAAATGTAAATGCAGTAAAAATTTAACGAGTGTTTATCTTCATGTAGCTCTCGGGGGACAAATGTGTTCCGATGGGGGAAGATAATTTAATACAGCAGCTCAGAAGACATGGCAACATTTACATTCTGTTACTTTCAGGCAGTAGGCCAGCGCTCATGCTGAGCCAACTTAGTGAATCTGCAATATTACCAGCAGCCAAAAATAGAAAAAAAATAGCAGGGTCAAACTGCAAGAAATGATCATATTCTCATGTGATATGAATACATAGAGGTTCTAGGTAATGAAATAAGAGACGAGGAGATATAGCCTCGGCTGCACAACTGAGTGACGCACCGGTTTGATGTCACGATGCAGGAAGCCGACAGAGTGGATGCTCTCTATGGCCTCCAGGATCTGGCGGCCCAGACGCAGGGTGGTGCTGATGCTGAAGGTTCCCCGAGTCATACTCCTCCTCAAGTCGGCCAGGTTACGACCCTGAAAGACCAAATTCAAGACCTGTCAGTTGTCTAAAACCTGAGCTTTGTGATACATTTTTAATTGAGCCCCAAACCTACTAAATTCAACAAATATCGTAAGAAAAAAAAAGTATTAAATTCCCCGAGCTGGGTTTCTTTTTTTTGCTGCAATCCAGGAACATATATCTGACTAATAATACAAAATAAAAATAAAACCATTAGAAAAAGGTTTTACTGACTGAAATATTTGACAGAGCGGACAGGAAGCAAGTCAACAGGCAGGAAAAACACTAATTCAGCTGCACACATCAGCTATAAATAAACACATGGAGCGGTAGGGAGCCAGCGCAGTGCCGGAAAACGCGCCATTCCTGTGGGTACGCTTGTATAAATCACAACCAGACTGCACTTTTAAAAACACTCAAAGCCTAGCTATCATCAAATTCAGAAAGCGCACAAGCGAATTTGCGATCATGACTTGTTTAATATAGCCTCATGTGGTGGATGCAATGACTGAAACTAATTTGACACCTACGGTTCACAGCAGTAGGTCACCAACCTGCAGGATGAGATTCTACAGAGGAGCATTATTGCTATAAATGCCTTTTAATGCTTCATACTCTGCAGTCTGTTTCATCTGTTTGAGGATAATACGTGTAGTGTTCATGCACCCGTACGTCCGGATTGCTTCAATGTATGTTCGTAGCTGTATTATTCATGTGAAGCAGCATTTATAGCATTTTCTGAAATATTTATCTGGTTCGGTTTCAACATAGAATAAAGAAGAAGAAGGGCGTGATGTCTCTCTGTCGAAGTCAAATCAAGGTCAGAGCTAAAACTCAAGATAGTTGGATGTAGGACTGAATTATACTGAGAATGTCAAGCACTGTTTTTTCTGCATAGGGGAATTTTTGGTGCCTCCCAAAGAGGTTTTTTGGCAGCAGCGAAGGAAAATCACCAGCGGCGAAATGATAAAAGTGGAGAACAAAAAACTATTTTAACTAGTTTTGTTAATTAGGATTTAATTTACTCAAACGTAATGGACGTTTTTCCTTCTCAAATGTTCCAAAATAGCAGAAAAACGCTTAGAATTCAGTCAAATAAGGACACAGACTCAATGCGTTTACTGTATGTAATCAAAGGCTCATTCCAGGAAAAACGCTGTCACATTGGGCGAATGGCAGCTATGAGCACATGACACAATCGCAGCATCACTGACTAAAACACAGCACAAGTCTGCACAATTACTCACTCTCTAAGGTTTTGCAAACCTACAAAAGCTGGAGATCAGAGCAGAACAAGTGCTGTAAGATGAGAAAAATGCTGACTTTTCTTATTGCCAACTCTTTACATAGTCTTGCCGTAATCTCTTAGTTAATTTGCCGATGAATCACTTAGTGTATGAAATGTCTGAAATGCCAATCCCAGTTTCCCAGAGCTCTCAATTGTGTTTTTTAAATTGCTCGGCTTGTACAGCCAACAGTTTAAACCTATAAAACATTTTCAAAAAATAGCAGGAAATCCTTATTGTAGAGACTGAAACCAGTAAATGTTTGACATTTCTTGATGAATAATTAAGTCTCGATTGTTTTGTCAGGAGTCTGATTTGTCGCACAGAGAAAGAAGCTGAAAATGTATTGAGTGTTCCCCACGCTGGGAACCGACCTGAAGCTCCATCACCACGTAGTTGAAGCGGTCGTTGCGGCCGCATCCCACGAAGCGACACACGTGGTCTTTACCTGTGAGAAGAAGAGAGATTTCCGGTTAGGGGACATCTCAGCTGCATCATTTATGAATCGTGGCAGTGCCCATGCTCTGCTACCCTTCGCTCTCCAGTCTCCCTGCCCTCCCAAGCTCCCCAGTTTGGCTGCTCGGCTGATTTACAGGCTACAACACCAGGTCTGCACATGTGCATGAACGCCCTGTGTGTGTGTGCATGCATCTCAGAGGACTTTGCTGCACTGGCTGGCAGGCTGCAGCACCGAATGCAAACAAGGCCTCCATGTTGAATACACAACACTTCACCCTGCCAGCTGTCACCGAATTCCCATTTAAGGGTAAAATAAATTGAAATAAGGCTAAAATGAGCTCAGTACGACCCACAAGTGTTCTTTGGATGTTTAGTCTTTACAGCTGGGCGGGTCAGCAATGTTTTGGGGGTGGGGGGGTTGGAGTTCAGCCTGCCTCGAGTTACATGCTGGTTCCCTCAGGAAGCAACACAACCATGATGCTCCAGGCTGAAGCCATTAGACAGCAAACATGATCCAAGCCCATTGATTTTTTTTTTCTTCTCAGAGGAGAGGGTGGGGGGAGAAAAAAAAAGACTTAAAAGGCAGGAAGGAAGACAGAGGGGGAAAAACATGGTTAAAAAAAAGAGAGAGAGAACGGAGTAAAACTATACGATCCCCCCTGAAGGAGTGCAACGTTGATCCTGTTTCTCTGCTTCTCTGAAAGACGTCCAAGCACGCAAACACACACTACAAGCACCTCGCCTCCTCCCGTTTCTATCATTAAAAGACAAGATGTGACACACGGAGCGATTTATCCGGCGTTCCCGTTGAACAGCGAGGACAGCAGGGGTGTGTTTTCCACTGCGGAGACTGGAGCAAATTGTGCTGAACCCTGGGCCAAATTGTGTTTTCAGATGAGTCAGATGATCTATATCTGGTCTCAGAGGGAGAGATTAGTCTACTCTGCTATCGATGCACGCAGGCTATCCCTGCCTTTTCTACTAGCATGACATTTCCTGGATGGCTGGGGAGAAAATAAACATGCCAAGAGGCAGAGCTCCTTCGTCTCAATCCAACACAAATTCTCCTCAGGTTATGTCTAATGATATTAATACATACGATACCCATGTTTGGGGGGCGACTCAATAGGTCAGTGTGTCAGAGAGGATCAATCCGTTCCAGTAACCGAACCCAACTAAATCCATTTCGACTCACCTTGGAGCTTCTTGAGCACGGCGACCTCCATCTTCAGCACCTGTTTGGGCTGCTGGGCCGACTCCACCTTCAGCGCCACGCTGACCCGCGTCAACAGGTCCAGCGCCTCGTAGATCTCCCCAAACCCACCACCCCCGATCTTCTTCACCTGGAGGGAGATGGTGAGACACAGTGTAAGGATTTAAATGTAGAAAAAACAGAGTGCAGGTAAAGAGGTCAAGGACAACATCTCACCAAAATGGCGCCTTAATCCACCTTCAAGGGATGAGGTAATTCATTTTCTCTACTGAGGTTTCATGTCAGCAACAGTGTAAAACAACAGCGGTGTTCATTACAGCGCTGCTGCTACGGCAATGTGTTCATGAAGGTGAAAAGCTAAATCAAAACCTGTGACATCGAGGTGATTTCACTGTTTTGGCTACGAATGCATGTGTCATCAACCTGTTGTAAAAAGTAATCCAGGTAAAACGGGCTGATGTTCAGCAGGTATAACGTTTAACCCTCTTGAACCCAAGCAGTTTTTCGAGCGTTTATTTGCCCCTGACCCATTTTTCCTCACCGACGGCTCATTTTTCACCACAATATAAAGTCTTGCACCTCTATGGAAGCAGCACAACCATGACTAGAAGCAGGGAGAACTAAAAATGTCTTCTGTGCAGTATATCAAAGTTACAACGCCATAAATTATTAAAAAAAGGAATTTCTACCATTTTTACAGTGTTGTATTAAATCAACATGTTCAACATTTGCCCACAAGTGTTACCAACACTAGAAAAACATGGTGTTTCTACATTTTATGGATATTTCACTACTTATGTTTCTAATTCATTTTTCTTGTCTCCTATTTGCTCTGTGTAAACACAGCCTGCAGTTCAGCCCATTATGGACAAAAAGTCACAGAATTTTTGTCTGGAGAAATTTTGGTTGCAGCAGAGTCACTAATATATTGATGGTTGCATCAAAAAGCAAATAATATTTGTTTTTAAACAGAATCTGATTACTGAAAACTACTTATTGTTGGTGAATTTTTAGATGAGTCATGTAAAATAAAGTGACATGAATAAAATAACAATTTCAAGTTAGATTTGGTTATTTATCCCCTTGAAACTGTACATCATACACTTGTTTAAGGAGCAACAGAAAGCTAACAATCTGACTATTCTGTTTGTTTTTACCATCTCTACCTCTAAAAAATGGTGTAATTTTGATGATTTTTAAAAAAGATAACACGCCTGTCAAACCCACTGGTGAATAATCTCCAGATTTATTAATTAGCAAATACCTGCAAAACCCTTGTTTTATAGGGATGTGATCAAAAAACAAATTATTAGGATCATTTTTATTGTGGAAAATCTGTTAAATATTTTATAAAATAACCATTAGTTGTTGGTTCTCTCAAAGAGTAAAAAATCCAAATCAGTGGCCCAAGATGTCACCTTTGAATGTTTTGTTTTGTTTACATCCAAAAGATATTCAGTTCACTGACATAAAGGAGGAAAGAAAGCAGAAATATTCAAAATTAAGAAGTTGGAATCAGAGAATTAGGATGTTTTTCCTTAAAAAGCTTGTCAAATTGATAAATCAATTACCAAAATAGTTGATGATTAATTTAATGGCTGACATCTAACTGATTAATCATTACAGTTGGAGTAGTCATCAATTTATTTAGAAGTTAGGAGTAAAGAAGGACGCCATAAATGTTGTAAACGGTTGCACAAATAATTCTGGTTCAATACACAACAGTGAGCTTTGAACTGAGTCCACCCTTGAAATGGTAGCATCATCTTGCGTTTAAAGCAATCTGGCAGTCCAGCAGGACAACAAACCCTTAAAAACATGTTGAATTAAGTCATTGCATGTCTAACAATCAAAAACAGTTCCTGCATGTCTGTAGCTTTCGACTGGGAATGCAGCAAACACTAACTGAAACACTGCAAACATTAGTGTCACTATACACAGAAGTCCATTTCATTCTGTGGTACAGAATGACGAGGTGAAGCCTCTTATGGTTACCTGACAGGAATTTATGTGACTCTGTGATTCCCCCGCCTGCACGTTCTTTCTGTGCTGATTGCATTTGCACTGACGGAATGTTTGCACCCTGTTCTCATTAAAAGGTGACCGATTTCACAAAGCTCCCTCCTTTTATTTCTGCTCCCTCCCTCCTGGCCGCTCCGCCTCTTCACGCTCACCTCTGGGCGCCACTACAGCTTTAATTTCCCCCTTAAGCCCCCACGTGTCCTTCACTGTCCTCCATGCATACACGGAGCCGTGTGTCGCACTCGGAGCTAAAGTTGTGGGATTAGCCGCAGCATTCTTATGTAACTCCTTGGAAGACAGGAAGAGGCACCGGGCTGCCAGTTAGGAATAACAGCCTCACATGGCGCCCTGGCTGGCATAGCAGTGAGAGACATGGGCCTCTGGGGATCACTGCTGCTGCTGCTGCTGCTGCTGCCTATAGCACACACTGCACTGCCACAAATAGCTACACGGGCTATTTTTGGATCCCCTATACTGCATCCGCATTACCTGGACAGAGAGACACGACCCCAAACTGTCGAAACCACAGGTGAGACACTTTAACAGAAAGCAGATGAACTCATAGAGCATTGTGCGGAGAACAAAGAGTTGCTGTTGGTGGGAAACAGAGGGCGATCCAGGGACAGGCGGCGACGGGGCCGGACGAACACGCCGCCCATTGTGGCCGAGAAAACACGCCACTTACCACTTTCCATCGTTCCTTGACCAGGGAGAGCACGCTTAGGATGTCAGCTTGCTCTGCTCCCCCGCTCATCCCGTCTGTCTGTCCTCACGTCTTCCCCCCCTCGACCGGCAGCCTCACACTGGGCCGGGCATCTGGGAGCTGATGGAGAACCCTGCAGAAGTCAGGCAGAGACGCACAAAACCGTCAGATTAAACGTGGTTATTCAGATCAATCTGCACCTCAGTGTTTTGAGCTACACCGTAAAACAAAATACATATAAAACTGAAAATCTGGAAGCAACAGTGCCACTAAAAATACATTAAAAAATGACAAATTCAAAAACAGGGAAAATAACAGCATTTATTTGTAAAACAACTTATTGTTTTTAGCTGATTTAAATACAGTAGAAGAGTTTTACAGTTACACATTATGAGTTCTTTAATTATCTGTAATTTAGGAAAATGGGAACAATCTGTAAATTAACAGTTAAAAAATGATTTCCCATTTTTCCATTTTTAATATACTTACTTTTCTTTCAAATAAAAGCAATTATCTGTAAAATATTTGCATTTTTGCTGATTTAAATGCAATTTTTAAAAAGGGGTCATTTTAATGCCAAACACTGTAAAAGAAAGAATTGATTTCTAAAAACAATTATTAATAATAATACATGTTTTTAATGTGGACATTATGTACAGATTAATGAATTGATTTTTTTATATTCAATGTGTAAGTAAATGAATACATTTTTGTGATTTTATTCAATATTTGCTGTAATTTAAGGAACAGACAAAATGTGAAATAATTGGTAAAAATTACCTTTAATATATAAATTCTATTTTATTTTTTAATTACACCAAATATGTGTAAACTAATGATTTCTTTTTCAGATTTTAAAAAAAGTAAAAGTTTAAAAAAAAGAGTCATTTTGTAAAATAACTACCGTTTGTTATAATACAGATTTTTGATGTTGACAAAATGTATTTATTTTTTATTAATTTTTTTAAAATGTTTTTTTTCTGAGATTCTTTTTAGCTATCATCTGTAATTTAACAAAACAGGGAAAATCTCTAAAATAACATCAAAATGTTCAACAAATTACAATTAAAAAATACTGAAAAACATTCATTTCTTAGCGTGTAGATCCAGTGAGCTCTGTAGTGCTGAACATACGACAGCCTTACAAAACCACAACTGTCTTCCAGTTGAAAGACAAAGTCAACCCATGGCAGCAGCTGCCACACCTGCTGCCAGCAGCTGTCTTTCTCCACAAACTCGGGCCGCCAGCTCAAAGCCAAAAGTCTCACGTCTTAAGTTACAAAAAGGTTTCATCTTCGGATCATTTTTCTCAGCCATTAATCTTCTGCGTATGAAAGCCAAGGAGCCCGTCTTAGCATCGTATCAGATTAATTAGGCCGATTAATCAGCCTTATCTCGCATTAGAGGGACTCAGCGTCATGGCAGACAAAAAATGCATTCTCATGACGGGTGAGCTTTAGTTTGAAATAAAAAAACCTCTTTGTGTGGTTAATTTTGTAAGAGCTTGGTTTGCCTAATTCATGGCAACTGGATGTGTATCGCAATTTTTATTAGTTTTAAGTTAATATCAACACATAAATGGAGCTTAGTCAGTTACTCTACTGATCTGGCACTATGTTCTGTCCTCTCACATAATGAACATCATTATTTATCACTTCCTTAAATGTCTAATCTTTTATTTATCTTTAATTTACTTCTAGTACTTATGAATACAGTAGTATGTTAATACCAAGAATAACATCTTACAGAATAAAAACTGCTGCGACTAATGATTATTTCTCATAATAAATAATCCACTAGTTATTTATTCATGTCATTTCCGATCAATTTAACATATTTAAAAGACTTGTTTTGTCAAAACTACAATCACAAATCCACTAATAGTAACTTACTACCAAAGTGAGACTAAAAAAAAGCAGATTTGAGAAGCTGACAAAAGTGGATTTGGGGCATTTTTGCTTTAAAAAAATGACTGAAACAATAAACTGTTGAAGCTCTGCTGCAGTTGTTAATAATTGTTGTTAATAACCAAACGTTTCGAGGGGTTTTGTAGAACGTGAATGAATTTAAGAGCTAAAAAGTGCTCTGCTGGAGGATGAACACCTGCCAGAGGAACTCCAAAAAATGTTCTACTGTGTTTATGAATGACTTCAGCCATTAGTAACAACATGTACAAATGTAAATATGATAAAAGGTGGTTTACTAAAAAAAAAAAGTGGTACTAATGGGACCATCACCACGAAGCACAAACTGCTTTACATTTTTTAAAAAAAGCCCACTTTGTGTACGACAAGGCTCAAATGGAGTTTCCCCTGAAAAAAGCTGCGTCTGAGCTCCTGCATTATACAACATCCGTGTCATAGATAAGCATTCCTCTGGAGAGCACACGCTGCTTGCTTCCTTTTAGTCTGCCTTCAAACGCTCCCGACGCAGCAAACCTGACTTCGATTCATCATTCTGTACGCGGCGCAGGCCTCCGCGGTTATGCAACGAGCCTTCAAAACACTATTTGGTTACGGGGCATGATCCCCGGCATCAAGGAGGCAATCAATCCCATCATGCAACGGGGCGAGGTTGGCTAGATGGAAGAGGGCGAAGCGTGGTTAGACTAGATAACGGCCAAATGATCAGCATGAAATGTGACCCGGGGTGAAGGCTCAGGAGCGAGGCGGCCTTGATGCAGCTGCACGGATCTGACACGCACATGACACGAGTGGACGAAGCTCGTTTTATGTCCCGCAATTAGCGTAATAGACTTTGAGATGTATTACTTTAGCATGTAGTCGCTATTTATTACCATTTCCCGCCTTAATGCCAGCAATCTTAGCGAATTAAACAGATTTGTTGTATGTAGTCAGAAATAATACAATTCTTCTCTTCCATATAGTGGATTAAGGTTGTGCTTAGTAAAGATAACAACAGTTGAACTTGTCTTAACCAGTGCAGCATTATGGGAGTTTGACAGAAAATATGACCATAAACGGTTCCTTTTGAATGAAATGAAGATCTTATCCTTAAAAATTGACTAGACTATGTGTCTTTGGTGGTTCTTTTGTACTTTGGTTAAATGTTAACGCCGGTAAACTTCAAACAACAAGTCAGGTGTTAGGATGCTAATATGTGCTACTTCCAAAACTAAACACAAAGTGCAGCTGAAGCCGATGAGAGTGCTATTATTATTATTTTTTTTTAGGTATGTTTCTGTCATAATTGGCCGACTCTAAAAAAAAAAGTAAAATGACATACAGAGCTGCACAAAATTGCACATTGAATTTCCCTTCTGGGATAAATAAAGTATTTTTCATTTCATTTCATTCATTCATTTTACATTAATACTGTCAAGCTGAACCTTGTTGTTTTACTTAACGTGTATCACAGTGACATCATTTCTTTATCCTTACTTATTTATTATACTTACGTGTTTTTCATTGTTGTGGTAACGTCAAAATTACCACCTGTGTACCTCAAATAACAGCCTAACGTGGTTAAATTCAAATAAAGTCTTGTTTTTTTGTTCGTCTTTAATAAAATAGGTCATTAAAATTAGCAAAATCTATCAGTATGAACTGAAAAGAAGCATTTTATTGTGGTAAACTTGTCAGCTCTATGACCCAGCCTTGTGTGACTAAACAAAACAATCTTTCTTTTATAACAGGTCAACTGATTATTAGCCAGTCTGATTATCATACCTGATATTCAGTATTTTATCTGGTTTCTGGATTTATTCACAGTGTAGAAGAATACTCAACACCAAAGCAGTTCATCCTCTGGAGATCATGAATATCCATGAAATAGTCGATGGGATATAAACAGTGGCAGCGCTACCATTTGCATTCCCAGCAAGACTTCTGGAGAAGCTACACATCTGAATCTTTGTTTTCGAGCCTTTCAAATCCACACTGGCTGAAACAAACTTCTATGTTATTTGATAGCATTTTTTCCCCCCTTTCAACTCTGACAGCATGTTTGCAGTCACACAAGAATCATCAGTGCAATTCTTAATATTATGCTAATTGGTGCAAACTCACGACGGGGCATCGACTCCGAGAAGAAACATGCCGTACAAAACGCTTCTAACCTCGCGGGATTGAGAAACTCGCTGTAAACACTGTGATTAAATAACCTGTGTCAGAACTTCAAGGTCACCTCACGTTCCTTCAGGAATATGTTGGATGGAGGAGAGACAAAAAAAACCAAAAAAAAACACACATCTGAGCTGGAGCGCAAGAGACCAGGAGGTAATTTGTTTAAAATTCATCAAGGGCTACTGATGAAAACACACTTTTAAAAGTAAAGCTAGTGGGTTTTGCTGTTCTCTAAGTTCAACTGTGCTCT